GATCACATCTATCTTCACTATCCTAAATTTAGCCTATCTCATCCCCAAAGCTACCTGGATCACTCATCAAGCGGTCTGTGACATGAATCCATTCTGTAACAAAATCAGGAGATTTTATTGAGTGCTTTGTAAATTTAACAACTTTATTTTTTTTAAAAGTGAGGCTTAACTCATTCTTACAAATTCAAATATGAAGGAAACTTTGATTGAGAAAGAGTTTGGGGAATACATGCGGTACAAGATTACAGAAAACCTCAGGGAAACATGTCATCCCAGGATGTAACTGGAGTGTCCACACAAAGGCAAATCCCCAACTTATAAACAGGCGTTTCTCAGAAAGTTTGTTTGAATGTTGGTGGTTTGGAACATGGAATGATTTGTCAATAGAATTAATGTTATAAATGGTCATTATGTTCCCAGGCTAGCCCACAGGACACTATTTAAGTAAGACTGTAGTTGATGCTTTGCACTGTGCCTGCCCAGAGAAGACAATAAATGCTTGTTGAACTGATTCTTAATATTAGGGCAGCTGGGTTGCACAGTGGGTAGAGCACTGGCCCTGGAGTCAGGAAGACTCCCCTCTGAAAGTTCAAATCCAGTCTTAAACACGTACTAGCTGTGTGACCCTGGCCCACTCACTTCATCCTGTTTGCCTCAGTTTCCTCATCTACAGAATGAGCTGGAAAAGGAAATGGCAAATCATTCTAGTATCTTTGCCAATAAAAACCCCAAATAGGATCACGGAGAATCAGACACGACTGAAAAATGACTCAACAGTAACATTTCCTGCCCAGAGAAGACAATAAATGTTTGTGGAACTAATTCTTAATATTAAACTGAGTATCTGACTCCTGAAAGCAGAGAAGCCCCTGGTAGAAGAGGAAGGAAATCCAAATGAGAAGGATTCTGAGGATGTTTAGCCTGGAGAAGACTTAATAAGATAAGGTAGCTGTTTTTAAGGCTCTTCTGGGGGGCAGTGGCCAGAGCACTGGGCTTGTGGTCAGGAGGATGAGACTTCCAATCTTGCCTTGTGTGACCCTGGGCAAGTCATTCAGCCTCTCTAGATCTCAATCTCTTCATCCATAAAATGAGGGGGTCGAACTTGATGACCCTGTAAGGTAACGTCTATCTCAAAATCTGAACTATGTGAAGATCTAACACAAGAGCTAGTAGACATGTTCTCCTGGGCCTAGAAGAGAGAATGAGGAGTCACAGAAGGGAGCTTCACCAAGTCAGATTTTGGCTGATGCTTGAAGGCCAGTCTTCCACCCAAGATCTGTCCCAGAGTGAGATGGGTTGCCCAGGAAGTAGTGGCCCCCTTCACCAGAGGACTTCAAACGTAGGATGACTGCTTTTTGGACATGTTATAGAACGGAGTCTTGGTCAAGGTTGGTCAAGTTGGCTTCCAAGGTCTATAATTCTGAGATTCTGTAAATATTATCTCCATTTCCTTTCTTCAGCACAGGCAGAATGTGAAATAAGGGCTTTGTCTTCATCACCTTCCTATTTTCCTAACTCTCCACCCTCTCCCACCTCTAGATGCCTCTCTCCTTAGGTCCCTAGTGCCCACCTGTTGGCCCAAGTCCCTCACTAGGGTACCCGGTCTAGGTTCACCCTAACCCAAAAAGAGCTCCAAGTTCCTAAATTATCTTTATATTCTCTGATCTCACCCCCTTAGGTGAGTGCAACTCATCTAAGTATAGGTGTTGGGAGGAAAACTGTTCAAACTAATTCTCACTAATGTGTGAATTGCTGATATTATCATAAACCTCCCAGAGAGATCTGCCTTTTTAATAGAGGAGGTTTATGAATCCACGGGGAAGCTTCACTGGGTAGATTTTCAGAACCTGAGACAAAATGAAGTGAAAATATTCAAAGATGATGAGGTGGGATATTGAAGGGCAGAGGAGGGCCAATAGGGAGGGCCCTGTGTGGTTCAGCTGGGGTCCCTGGGGTCAGCTTTCCCAAGCTGGCTCTGATTTTCACAGATCCTTCTTTTCCTCCAGGGCTGAACCCACCAAACTTTAAAGGCTCTAAATATTTTCACAACAACTTCCATGGCAATGAATCCTAGCTCCTGGGCTGGACCAGGATGGGCAGGGTTGGGCTAGGCAGGGACTCTTGAGTATTTGTAGATTGGAGACTGTTCCTATTGTACCTGATTTGGAGTGGTTCATGGTGAAAGTGTGGGAGTTTTTCTCTCTGCTTAAGTCAAAAGTGGCTAATGCCTTAGGTGCTACTTCTGTGGCCTAGGGAACTCCCAAGTGGAGAAATTCCATCTACCAAGACAGATCAACACCTGCTCTGCTATATATAGTCTGAAGGAGTTGCCTAGAGTACTGAGAGGTTGAGGGACTTGCCCAGGGTCACACAGCCAATCTGTATGAGAGGTAGGACCAGGCTTGGAACCAAAGGGCCCTAGTAGGTGTGGACTCCTGTCCCTAAGATGTCCAGCTCCACTGATTTCCAGAATGCCGTTTGGTCCAAGAATATTGATTATAGGGAAAGGTATAGTCATTCATAGATGGTTAGATCTAGAAGTGACTTAGAGGTCTCTTGGTCAACTCCAGGGAAATTGCTGCCTATTTCCAGTGGCCTCCTCTTTCTATGTCTTACTAGATGCTGGAAATTCAAAGGTCGACAGAGACAAGATGCCCCTAGATACCACGTAGTATGAAAAAGATCTTGAGTTTTTAGTTGTCAGATCATCACCACAGAGATGGCAGGAACCCTGAATGTTGTTATTGTGTTGTTCAGTTGCGTCTGACTCTTTGTGACTCCTTTTGGGGTTTTCTTGGTAAAGATACTGGAGTGTTTTGCCATTTCCTTCTCCAGCTCATTTTACAGATGAGGAAACTGAGGCAAACAGGGTGAAATGACTTGGCCAGACTTCACACAGCTAGTTAAGTGTCTGAGGTCACATTTGAACTCAGGTTTTCCTGACTCCAGGTGCAGCGCTCCATGCACTATGGCGCCACCTAGCAGGCAGGAACCCTAGAGACGTCCAGTTTAACCTCCTCATCTGTAAGAGGAAAGAGGCCCAGAGCTGGGAAGGAATTTATCCTTGGTTATATAAGCAATGAAGCTGTTGCCCTGACTCTAACTTCAACATTCTTTCCACTGTAACAACCTGACTCCAAGGTCGATATGATTCAACAGCATAATAGGGCAGCCCAGAGTGAATTTAGTCCTGTCAAGAGAGGTGTAGGATCCAGAACCAGGGAGGTAACAGTTCTGCTGTTCAGATAACATCTAGAGTAAACTGTGTTCAGTTCTAGGCATTGTTGCATGCCCAGAGGAAGACAAGCACATGCTGGCTGTGTGACTCTGGGCAAGTCGCTTACTTAACTTTGCACAAAGAGGTACCAATCTGCCTTGGTGGAGGGATTTCCCCACCTTGGAGTCCCTAGGCCATTGGAAGTGCCAGGACCAGTCTTTATATCTAAGGCATAAGAAACACATTTTTGACTTAAGAACAGAGAGAGAAAGTGAGGAGATGAAGGCTTGGCCCATGCAAAAATCTATTGAAGGACCTGGGAGCGTGCAGCCTAGAGAAGAGAAGATTCAGGGCAGCACAAGATGGTCCTCTTCAAGCAATGGAAGGGTCGTCATGTGAAGGGGGTTCCTTTTGTTTGGCCCAAGGAGCAATGGGAAGAACTTTAGAGAGGCAGATCCAACCCAATCTATAAAGCACCTACCATGTGACTGGCACTGTGCTAAGCACTGGGTGTAGGTTCAATGTGAGGGAAAACTTAGTAGCTGATAATCCCGTCTCAAAGTATAATGGGCTGCCTCTGGAGGTGGTGAGCTCCCCGTCATGAGAGATTATCAAGCAAAGGCTGGATGAGACCTTGTGGAGAATATGGTAGAAGGGAGGCAATGAAAAGAGCACCAGATTTGGAACTGAAGGAGTTGAGTTGGAATTCTGGATCTGTTGTGTTACCTGTGTGACTGTGGACAGGTTACCTTCTCTCTCTGAGGCGCAGTGTCCTATTCTATGAGAGGTTGGACAAATTGACCGCTTAGAACCTATCCAACCCCCAAATCTCTGAGTTTATGATCCCCAGGACTCCTGTTTGGGTACAAATCAGAGTTAGACGGCCTCTAATGAAGGGGTGTGCTAGAGCCAGGAACCTGCTGGAGAGAGCTGATTGTTAAATTGTCATTGTGAGCATTGACACCTAGGAAATAAATGGTACAAATTAGGGTTTGATCTATTGTTTTGTTGGTCACCTAGACTTAAGGAGATGGAGAAAATATTAATAATGCAGATTAAACTTAAAAGCACATCAGGCATATTCCCCATCCCCACCCACAGCTAGTTGTTAAATGTTTACCTAAACGACCCTTCCAACTGTGAGATTCACTGATTCCGTGACTTGGGCTCTTTATTCAGTGGTTGTAAGTAAGGGACAAAAAGTTGATCTTGTGACCTTGTTTTTCCAATTCATCTGGAGGGAAGTGGGGTAAAAGCAGAAGCGTGATCTTGCCCAATGGCTCTTTTTATGGTGTTTCCTCTTTTTTCTTCATATTTTCCTCATGTTTCCATATCACACTTTTCACTGAGAGGAAGGTCAGACACTGTGCTGCTTGCCCTGGAGCAAGATTCCCTAGAAACTACTGCTTCAAAGTCATTTCTTCCTTCTGGGCTTGACCTCTCAGAAGGGCCAGCTGGCCTGGGAAGCAGTGTTCTGTCCTCTCCAAACATCCCCCCCTTCTCTCCTTCCTCCCTCACCCCTCCGCCATGATTGATCCCAGATGAGGGTTTCTGTTGGGAAGGGCCATGCAAAGGGTTGACTTTGTCATGGATCCACAGAAAAGGATGACCAGCTGGGGTAAGAATAATGACTAGTATTAATACATACAGCGCTGTAAGGTTCACAAAGCACTTTACATACGTTAACTCATTTGATCCTCACAACAACCCTGGGAGATAGGTACTGTTATCATTTCCATTTTACAGATGAGGAAACTGATGCCCAGAAAAGTTAAGGGACTTGCCCATGGTCACAGCTAGTAAGAAGGGTTTGAATTTAGGCCTTTCTGGCTCCAAGTCCAGCACTCTATGGACCTTGCCAACTAGCTGCCATGGAGCCATCTAGGCGGGGTAGCCTTCCCCTGGGAACTATGTCACTCCAGGGAATTTCTCTGAAGGGGAAGTTGGTGTGGGGTGTTGGGGTGAATCAATGTTCAACAAGGGGCATTCATAGAAGAGGAACAGGTACTGAAGCCATGGGATGGAGACCTAGTGGTCTCTGATCAAGGTCCTGATGAGGGTTCTTCAATAAAGCTCAAGGAACCTCATTTTTCTGTCCAGTGTTCACGGTGCCCAGGCCATCTTCACATATCAGCATCACCTATAGGGGTCGCCACAATTCCCTACACCTAGAGGATACTGGTAAGGTTTGCGTTTACTTGTCAATTACACAGTGAAATACACCCACAGTCCTCACAGAAGTCAAGACATAGCATGATAAGCTCTGGAGCTGAAAGGCATGGGAGAGCATCTAGTCCCCTCCTCCATTCTGAAGAGGCTACATCTAAGGCCCAGAGAGAAGGGATTTTCCCAGGGTCACTCAGTCAGGAAGGAGAGCCAGGAGCTGAAGCCAAGTCGTCTGGCTTCGGAGCCAAGGCTCATTCTGATATACCAGGCAGCCAGTTTCACAGTCATTAGTAAAACTGAAATGGAGAAGGGGAAATAGATGAAGCCTGGGAGCAGAAAGGATAACATGAAGATGGGGAATGGAGAGGCTACTGGGAGAGGCAGGGAGAGACTGGGTGAGGAGGGAGGCTGGGATGGTGATGGAAGAATGAGCCCTTTACATCATGACGTCATCCAGGGGGAAAGTCAGGCTGGCTGGGGCCACGGTCCCCAGGAGCCGGACGCAGTGTGTGTTCTCTGGCATCTGGCAGGGAATCACCTCAGAAAGCCCCGACCTCGGTAGTCCAGGAGCGGCAGAGTCTGGCAGGGCCAACCCTACCTGTCGGCCCCTGAGCGGATGGGCTCAGAGCAGGGGGAGATGTGTAGGCAGGAGGGATTGGGACACCAGTGGAGGGAGAGCAGGAGGAGGAGAGCAGGACTGCAGCAATGTGGCTGTTTCTGGATGCCGCACCACCCACAGGGATCGAGGCAGGGCTAGCCGGCCTTCCTGCAGGGCGGGCCCTACGTGGGGATGCTGGCACCCGATGACTCAGAAAGCTCTTCCGGGCTGGCAGGATGGCACCAGAAATTCGGTGGAGAGGGGCCGTTCGGAGCATAGGGATGGAGTATGCCAGAGAGGAGGCAGTCACGAGTGCCAGACCCGGGCTGGGCCCTTGCTGGGGGACTGGAAGCTGGCTCGAGGCTGCCGAGGAGGTGTGGGGGAATGCCCAGGGCCAAGCCGGGCAAGGCAGGAAGGTGGCAGTCCCCGGCGAGGGCGCCATCTCAGCAATGTAGTTGTGCAGGTGAGAAAGAAGGCGGAGCCGGATGGGCTCGGCGCTGCTCTGGCCCTCCAGGATCCCGAGGTATCTCCCAACCTCAGTGAGGCACTCTCGAAAGCCAATGCTTCTATAATCCACTGCCAGGGCACAGGCGTCGAAGAGGCCTGAGGGACAAACGGCACAGGAAATATCAGACACCGAGGGGCTCCCAGGACACCTATTCACTACACTCAGCCCTTCACCAAAACCGCCCGAATAGCCTGGGAACCGGCTGGTTCCGGCTGGATGATGACTCCACTATAATAGTTGCCCAAGTTTTCAAAGGCCTGAAACACGACCGAATAAAGCCCAGCTTCCCACTATCCAGCATAAAAATAACTCTGCCTGGGAAGGCGCGTTTGCTTCTCATCAGCTTCCATTTGCTTTTCGGCCGCAAGAACATAATTATGACTTACAGCTGCCGCCGAAGCCTGAGAGTCTCACAGAATCGTAGATTTGGGACCGGAAGGGGCCGTTTTGTTGTTCGGTCACGTCTGATGACTCTTCTTGACCCCGTTTGGGGTTTTCTTGGCAAAGGTACCAGAGTAGTTTGCCATTGCCTTCTCCCGATCATTTTACAGATGAGGAAATTGAGGCAAACAGGGTGAGGTGACTTGCCCAGGGTCACACAGCTAGTAAATGTCTGAGGCCATATTTGAACTCAGGTTTTCCTGACTCCAGGCCCAGCGCTCTGTGCATTGAGCCAATAACTTTAGTCCTGGGTAAAGCTGAGAGAGTTCACATTGGAGGGCCTCAGTGAAGTGCAGCTTCCTTCCCCCATTGCTGAGTTCTTCCAGTCACCTCATTTTGAGGAAGAGGCCGGTGAAGTCATGCTTTACTCTCCAGACTTCGCTGCCATGTTTCAGCCACTTTTCCCTTGGGCCCTGCAGCCTCTTCTCCTACTGGTGAGCTCCTCTCAATGTTTTTGAGGAAGGTTCCAGACCACTCATCCTTCATTCTCCAGACTTCACCACCTCTTTTCATGGATTCCAACCATCAACTATTTCTCTGTCTCAACCTTCCTTCTCTCCCCTACATACATTTGCACAGACTTTTTAGTCCATAAAGGAACCTCCTCCTTCATTCCCATGCCTTTAGGCTCTTTTTTGAGTGTTGTCTTCTCCTATATGAATGTCAACACTGGGCTTGGAATCAGGAAGACTCATGAAGATGAATTCAAATCCAGCCTCAGACACTTACCAACTGTGTGACCCTGGGCAAGTCACTTAACACTGCTTGCCTCAGCTCCTCATCTGTAAAATGAGCTGGAGAAGGAAATGGCAAGCCACCAAAAAAAGACCCCAAATGGGGTCATGGGGAGTTGGATACGACTGAACGACAACATGAAGTACTCTCAGGCAAGGACAATGTCTTTGCTTTTCTATAATTACCCACAGCTTGTACTTAGACCCTGAAATGAAAAGTCCACAAGGAGTCACTTCCAGGCCTGGGTGGATATGAAATATTAAATAGCGTAATGGACAACACACTCAACTTGGAGTCAAAAGACCTGAGTCCAAATCCCAGCTCTACCATTTCCTAGTCATATGACCTTGGGCAAGTCACTTCCCTTCTGCTTCCTCATCTGTAAAATGGGCATGAAAATATCTGCCCCCTCCCCACCCCTCCCCCAATAGGGTAGCTGTGATGATCCAATGAGAAACCATCTGGAAATCATTCAGCAGCCATAAAGTACCAAACCAGTATGAACTGTAACTATTAATAATGTAGAAGGTGTTCAGTCTATGGTTCATTGACTAATCTTTCCCAAAGCCAGAGTGACTTTTTTTCATCTCAAGGGAAGAAAAGTCCCTTCGAGCTCTAGCTTTATGATGCTGGTATCCCCGGGGCAAGGGGCCCAGTCCTGGCACAGAAATCAGAGTCACAGGGGAGGTCAGAAGCACTGAGGCGTGGTGGGACCTGATGGGTTCCCACCAGGTCAAGGGCAGTCAAGGGCCAGGAAGTCATGTTTCCAGCTCCCTTCTTTGGCTCTGACTGAGAATTCTTTACTGCCAGCTACTCAGAAAGGAAGATCAGTGGTACCCAGACACCTGTCCTAATTCAAGGCCAAGCCAGCCAAGAGCAACTGGGTTTCTATAGGATAACAGCAAATGGTTAACATTTATGTGGCACCTACTATATGCCTGGCACTGTCCTAAGTGCTTTATAAACATTATCTCATTTGACCCTCATGACGACCTTGGGAAGTAGGTGCTATTATTTCCCCCGTTTTACAGATGAGGAAACTGAGGCAAACTGCGGTTAAGTGACTTGCTTAGGATCATACAGCTAGTAAGCGTCTGAGGCTGGATTCGTACTCAGGTCTTCCTGCCTCTAGGACTAGTGCTCTATCTGCGTTCAATGCCTGGTACCAAGCGTCTCATTTATAAGGTGGTTTTCATAAATCAAAGGGGCCCAGATTTCTCTAATCCTGATTCATTCACGATGCGGGAAAAGGAGCCCTGGATTTGGAGGTGGAGGATTGAGTTCAGATCCCAGCTCGGATACTTGCTACCTTTGTGACTTTAGGCAGATCCCTTCTCTTCTCTGTGCCTCGTTTTTCCCAACTGTAAAATATGATTGAGGGGAGGGGGAGGATTGGATGAAATGACTGCCCCCTCAGACATTTACTAGTTCTGTGACTCTGGGCAAGCCTCTTAACCTCTCTGTGCTTCAGTTTCCTCACCTGTAAAAGGAGAGTGTTGGACTGTGCGTTCTCTCAAGTTCCTTCTAACTCTAAATCTACAACCTTATTACCTCCGTGGTCCTGTCTAGTTGTGTCTTTTCTGAGTCGATGAATCCTAGAATTGGAGTTGGAAGAAACATCAGAGGGCCCCTGGTCCAGCCCATTCATCAACATCATCCAGAGTAGAAGTATGATGTGGAGTCAGGGAAGACCCGAGTTCAAATCTTTTTTTTAAATTTTTTATTTTTTTTAGTGAGGTGATTGGGGTTAAGTGACTTGCCCAGGGTCACACAGCTAGTAAGTGTCAAGTGTCAGAGGCCAGATTTCTGACTTCAAACCTTGCCAGTGCCAGAGGCACTATGTGACCCGGGCAAGTCACTTACCCTCTCTTAGCCTCAGTTCTTTCACCTGTAAAATGGACATAATAACAGCACCTTTCTCACTGGACTGCTATGAGATATTTTATGTCAAACACTTTGCAAATGTTAAAGCCTCTATAGAAATGTTGAATATTATTCATGGAGTGTCCCAGGGGACAAATCTCACTGATTCATTTGACTCTTTTGAGGCTCTGGGGATTGGCTATCTATTCTGTGATCAATCAGGACACGTCACAGATCTTAGCTACGGCCCCCACGTGAGAGGCTGACCTCTGAGTCAAGGCACCAGAAAATGAGGTCCTGATCTAGCCGACGGGGTGAGAGTCACCTTTTAAGAACAAACACAGGCATCTCCCTTGAGCGCTCAGCCTCTCCTGCTGGGTCAAACTGAAGAAGACGTTTCTGAGCAGATATAAGGAAGAGACAACATTGTACAGTGGAGAGAGCCCTGGCCTGGGATGGCGGCAGAAGACTGAGGTTCAAATCCATACTCTGACATTGACCACCTCTGGGCAGTTCATTCAACCCTTTGAGCCTCAGTTTCACCCTCTGTAAAGTGGGGGTAGTAATTATACTCAACAGATAGGGTTGAGATAACATGCGTAAAATGCTTTATACATCTTTAAGCACTGTGTAACTGTGAGTTGTTATTGTTCTTTGGCTGAATCTCTGTGACTGGGACTCTTCTTATCTGTTTTCTGAACAACAGAAGTCCCTTCATGTCCACAGTGATAGCCTTCCCTACCCTCCTTCTTCCTTCTCTCTAGAGCTGACATATACTCACATATGTGGTAGAATGTGAGGGGGTTACAGGATTTAGTGCTGGAAAGAACCACGGAAATCATTTTAGTCCAACTCTAATTTTACAGAGGAGTAAACTGAGGCCCAGAGGCATCACACGGGTCATAGGTATCAGAGCCAGGAAATGATTCCAGGTCCTCTGATCCAAACCTGGTGTTCTTTACATGGAACCATGTTGTGTCCCTGGATACAAAGCTCTCCTGCCCATTGCTCTACCACAGTGCCCAGGATTTCTATGAGCAGAGATTTATTCCTCTGACTTAAGTCATTGATGTCTCTCAGACATCCCCCCTCAATAAACTCCAGTGGTTCCCTACTGCCTTCAGGATCAAATACAAAATGCTGTGTTTGGCATTCAAAGCCCCCCTTAACCTAGGGCCCCTCCCACCTTTCCAGCCTTCTTACACCTGACTCCCCAGCACATGCTCTTCCATCCAGGGACACTGGGCTCCTGGCTGTTCCATGAACAGGACACCCCACCTCTGGCTCTGGTCATTCTCTTGGCTGTCCCCCATGCCTAGAATACTCTCCCTCTTCTTCTCTGCCTTTTGACCTCCCCAGCTTCCTTTAAGTCCCAACTAAAATCCCACCTTCTACAGGAAACCTTCCCCAGCCCTTCTTAATTCCAGTGCCTTCCCTCTGTTAATTCCCATCTATCCTGTATATACCTTGCTTTGTATATACTTACTTGCATGTTGTCTCCCCCCCATTAGATTGTAAGCTTCTTGAGGGCAGGGACTACCTTTTGCCTCTTTGCATCCTCAATGCTTAGCACAGTGCCTGGCACACAGTAGGTGTTTCATGTAAGTTAAATAAAATGTTTATTGATTGATTGATTAAGTGAACTAGTATATTAGAGATTAGAGAGCCCATCACTCAGCAAGGCCCCAGGATAGGAGCTCAGCCTTTTTTTTGTGTCATGGACAGTCTGGTGAAGCCTCTGGGACCGTTTCTCAGAATCATGTTCTTCAATGAATACAATAACATTCATAGGATGACAAAGGAAGCCAATTATATTAAAATGTAGTTCTCAAAATATTAAAAAAAAAGTTCATAGACTAGATTGTGGTTTAAAAAGGTAGGGAAAGCTAGACAGCTGATCAGGGCACCAGGCAGCCAGTTGGAGCAGCACCATGCTCTCTTGGAATAGAGGAAGCTGGCAGGGGGTAGAGGTTATCATGGAGTTTATCTGGAAGGGTCCTTAGAAAGATCCAGTCCAACTTCTTAATTTGACAAGTGAGGAAACTGAGGCCCAAAGAGTTTAAGTGACTTTCCTTAGCTCACACAGGTAGAGAGTAGCAGCACTGGAATTGGAACTCAGGTCTTACAACTTTCTAAATGCATAGTGTTCTTTTCAGGACACCACATGGCCTCAGAGGACAGTGGTTGTTTTACTAGAAGGGAGAGGAAGTGATGGCAGGATGAAATAGGGAGGGAGACACATAGTTTGGCCCTTGCTTATTTCCGCCTCAGTCCCTTGGGAAGAAGGTCTTCTCTTACCAGACCCTCCGGTGGCACGGAGCATTTTCAAATGGTCCACTGTCATCTGCAGGATTTCTGCTTTCTCCAGTTTGGAGGAGCCCTGTGGGGAAGAGAGAGGGAAGAGGGTGGAGTTCAGGTCTTCAGGAGTGGGAAAAGGCAGCAAGCCCTGCTACTGGGCTGTCAGGACCCTGGGGGGACGATCAATCATTAGGCACCTGTTATTGCTAGGCACTGTCCTACGTGTCCAGGGTACAAAGACAGAGATGAAACACTCATTGTCCTCAAAGAACTTAAATTAATCGTGGAAATTGTGTGTGTGTGTGTGTGTGTGTGTGTGTGTGTGTGTGTGTGTGTGTGTGTGTGTGTGCAATAGGAGTTTGAGAACTGACTGGCACCCTGAGATTTTTTTCTCCGAAGGACAAGAGAGAGTACCCATGGGGAGAGGGTGTACCACAGTGTGGAAGGCTGCAGAGAGGTCAAGAGGAGGAGGATTGACAGATGGTCATTGGATTTGGGAGCTGAGAGACCATTCGTAACTATGGAGACAGCAGTTTGTTGAACGATAAGGTCAGAAGCCAGATTGTAGAGGGCTGAGGAAAAAACGAGGAGAGGACGTGTAGGTTAGTAGAAACAGGTTTTTCTAGGAGTTTGCCTGTAAAAAGGAGGAGAGTTATGGGATCATAATTTGAGGTGATGCTAGGGTTCAAGTGAGGGCTTTTTAAGGCTGGGAGGGACTTGAACATGTTCAGAGGCATCTGATAGAGAGAAATTAAGGTTTGGAGAGAAAGGTAATCTACCAGAGGGGATGGGAGAAGAGGACATCAAGAACCCACGTTGGTTTTGGCAAGGAAAGAGGACTTCTTTTCATCACGAGGAGATGGGCTTTTGAGATGGAGAGTAAGGAAGGAGAGGGCTCACAGTTAAGTGGCCTTTATTTTCCCAGGAAAGAATAAGGCAAGGACCTCAGCTGGGAGGGGCAGGCGTTGGGGTGGTGTAAGGGGCTTGAGGAGGGAAGGGAAAGTTTAGAATAGCCTCCCTGGGAAGTACAATAGAAAATCAATTAGGGAGGGGTGGGAGGATTGCCTTGCTTGGGTGAGGGTCCAGTTGAGATGAGATCACATCAGTCTATAGTGCACCCAGTGAGCAGAACAGCTACTCCCCCGGTACAATTCCGTTCGGCATGTGAGTGGAACAAAGAGGGCAGATGCTGACCCCAGGATTTGGCAAGACATGAGAGGTGAAAGGGGAAAGGGATTTAAAAGTGTATGTGAGGGTGAGGGGGTGAAGAAATAAGCATTTATATAGTGCCTACTATGTGCGGCTAGATGGCCCAGGGGATGGAGCACTGGGCCTACAGTCAGGAAGACCTGAGTTCAAATCCAGGGTCAGACATTTACTAACTTTGTGACCCTGGGCAAGTCACTTAACCTTTGTTTGCTTTGATCCATTGGATAAGGAAATGGCTCTAGAATCTTTGCCAAGAAAACCCCATGGAGAAGATGCCCACAGGGTGACGAAGAGTTGAATGTGACTAAACAACAACTATGTGCTTAGCAGCACTGTGCTGAGTACTTTACAAATATCTCATTTTATCTTCCAACAACCTTGTGTAATAGGTGCTGTTATTGTCCTCATTTTTCACTTGAGGAAACTGAGGCAAACAGGGATTAAATAACTTGCCCAGGAACACACACCTAGTAAGTGTCTGAGGCTGGATTTGAACTCAGGACTTCCTGACTCTAGGCCTGGTGCTCTATCCACTGCACCAACAGCTGCCTCTGAGGTCACTGTCACACTGAACAAGTCAGCTACAGGGTCAAGAGTGATAAGGAGGAAAAGGAAGCCTAGCGTACAGGGGAAGGTGTGGGAGGGTTCTGAGAGGTGGAGAGCAGACCACTCTGGGTCCTTTCCAAGAGAATTCACAGTTTAAGGAGCAGGCAAACAGCATGGTGGAATGAGAAACATACTCCTGGCTTGGAATCAGAAAGTGTAGGACCCACCCTTGGATACTTAGAAACTGAGTGACTTTGAGAAGGTCCCCTAACTCCTTTTAGCTTCAGTCTCCCCACCTATAAAATTTTTGAGGGCCTGCTGACTTCATTAGCCTGTTGGGTGTATGGAAATGACATGTATGATATGTATGATATGGTAAGTATGGATATAATCATGGCCTAACTTGTAGAGTACTTTACAGTGGTCAGGCTGCTTTTACTCACATCATTTCATTTGATTCTCACATCAACTTGGATGATTCATACTGTGGTGCAAAGAACACTGGACTTGGAGCCAGGAGACCAGAGTTCAAATCTCACCGGTGACACTTTACCAGCTATGCAAGACCGGGCAGGCTACTGATTCTCTTGTGAGCCTCAGTTTCCTTTTCTATACAACTGCAATAATGATATCTGCAAGCCCTACCTCACAGGGCTGTTATGGGGAAAGTGTTTAGAATTAAAGTGCTATAGAATTTATGAGTTATCATAATTATTATTGGTAGCTAGGTGGTGTAGTGGATAGAATGCCAAGCCTGGAGTCAGGAAGACTTGAGTTCAAATCCAACTTTAGATACTTACTAGTTGTGTGACCCTGGGCAAGTCACGTAACCCTGTTTGCCTCAGTTTCCTCATCTGTAAAATGAGCTGGAGAAGGTGATGGCAAACCACTCCAGTATCTCTGCCAAGAAAACCCCAGATGGGGTCATGGAGAGTTGGACACCACTGAAATGACTGAACAACAAAATCGGGAAGACCTGAGTTCAAATACAGCCTCAAACACTTACTACCTGTAGGACCCTGGGCAAGTCACTTATATTTGCCTCAGTTTCCTCATCTGTAAAATGAGCTGGAGAAGGAAATGGCAAACCACTCCAATGTCTTTGCCAAGAAAACCCCAAATGGTGTTATAAAGAGTCAGATGTGACTGAAAACAAACAAATAATTATTATTATACAGGTTTATATGTCACATTTACCAAATCTAAAGTGAATGAAAGCTGGATGATTGAATAAGGACCCCAAAGGTGCCAACAAATTAGAATAAGAAGCAAATCTAACAAGACAGAATGCTAATAGGGATAAATGTAAAGCCCTGCACTGTCAAAACACCAAATTCTGAAGTAGGAGACAGGAGAGACACACGTAGAGAATATTTCATTCAAAAAGAACCTGGGGAGACTCAGTGGATTTTAGGTTCCATAGGAGTCAATAAGGACATGGCAGGAAAAGTAACCCAATCTTAGCCATGTTACTGGAGATGAGGATGTCCTTTCATCCTCTGCTCTAGTCAGACCGTGTTTGGAATGTTCTGTTCTGTTCTGTTCTGTTCCAGGGCCAAATGTTAGAAAGCGCTACTGACAAAGGGAGTGTGTCCAAAGCAGGGCAAACCTGGATGGTGAGGAGGCTCAGCATTGGACCGAATGAAGGTCAGTCGTTTGAAGGAAGGAGGTCAGGGTAGTTGGCCTAAGAAAAGAGATGGGGGAGGGAGGCAGGGAGACAAGATAGCAAGTCTTCAAGTGTCTCCAGAGCTATAGTATGGAAGAGGGATTGGCTTTATTCTGCTTAGCCCCAAAGGTCAGAATTAGGAGCAGTGGGTGGAAGTTATAAAGAGGCATATTTAGGCTCAAATGTAAGGGAGACATTCCTAACCCTTGGAGCTGTCCAACAAAGCAGTGGAGTGCCTGGGGAGATAAGGCGCTCCTCCCCACTGGGACCATTCAAGCATTGGATGGGGAATGTGGCAGAAGGGTTTTGGACGTCTGGCTGGGAACTGGACTGAGTGTCTTCCAATTCGGATTTTGTTAAAAACAACCATGTTGCAGGGGGGCAAAACGATTTCCTTTCCCTTTTAAAAGATAAGGAAACTGAGGCTTAGCGGTCTAAATTTTGCCCAGGACGTTGGAAGTCATTGAAGGTTTTTGAACAGGGGACTCATATGCTTTAGGAAGATGAATCTGGCAGCCTGGGCAGGACTGAGATTAATAGGAGAGAGACTGGTGTTGTTTGTCTTTCGCTCCTGAAGAGGACCAATGACATCAGGAGGGTGATGGCTTGTAAGTGAATTGGGATTTAAGTGAGGCAGGGCTGTGCAAAATCATCAACCTCACTCTCTCCTCTAGAATCGTGGGAGTCCAGTGTTAAGATGCAGATCAGGACTACTGGTGATCGCTCGGATGCAGTGGGAGACCTTGGTTTTTTAAGCTTTCCCAGGTCTCAGTTTGTCTGAGACAGCGCCCATTCAATAATTTAAGACTAGGTAAGGATTGAAGTAAAAGATGGTCTAAAAATTCACAAAAGAATCAATCCGGGAGGGGAAGACCTTCAGAGTTTCTGGCCAGAACAGAAACAAGTGCTATTTACTGGGAGACTGGTCAGGTATGAAATGAAGATAGCACCTTCTCCATCACCCTCTCCAGTAGCCTGGACTTCCCAGCATTTGAATTGTGAAATGGGTCCAGCCCAAATGGACATTCACACAGGAGAAATCCACCAAAATGGACTCCTCTTTGACCCCTGAAAATGGCACTGTGCTCTCCTACCTCACTGGGAAACCCGAAAATGCCTCTTCTCCCCCTCTCCCTCCAGTAGACATCCAACCCACCATCCTCTGGGGACACCCTTCTTTACCTGCTTCTCAAAGGCTGTAGGGACCAGACGACGAAGCTCAGACAAGCTGCTGTTGATACGATCCCGTCGCCTTTTCTCAATGATCTAGAGGGGAGACAATCACATCAGACACACAGCAAGCCCTGTCCCAAGCTGCCCTCCCCAGCTCCAGTCACCCCTGAGGCAGAACTTCTCATCTGGGGGATCTCAAAGAGCCTCCCTCCCATCGGGCCTAAGTAAAGTCCAAATTCCGTGGACAAGAATTTAAATAAGCTGGGGCCAGCCTCCTTTTCCAGCTTTGTCTTCTTCTCCTCTCCTTTATGCATTTGATGCTCCAGTCAAAATGGATATATTTCTATCCCCAAACATGTAATGTGCTCTCCCACCTCCACACTTTTGCTTATCCTTGTGCCTGGAACGCCTTCTCTCCCCTTCTTCACCTGTTAATGCTCAGCCAAACTGGATTCCTTTTTGTCCCCTGAGAATAGCACTATATTCTCCTTCCTCTGTATTTTCACTCAGGCTATCCCCTGAACCTGGAATATTCCTCCTCACCTTCTTCATCTGTTACATTTGTGCCCTACTTTTAGAGCCCAAATCAAATACAAGCACCTCCTCCAGGATGTCTTCTTTGATCTCTACCCTCCATCCATAGTTTCTTCCTCCTCAGGTTACATATCTCTAATGCATTTGTAGTGCAATGCTGTGTATTAATTTTAGCTGTGTTTTTGTCTCATTTTCCCTAATAATAAGTGAGTTCCCTGAAGGCTTGGGTCTCTCTCGGGACTGATCACAGTGCTTTGCCCACAGTGGCTGCTTAATAAATATTTGTTGAATGACTGAAGGATTGTACAGTGGCATGGTAGTGACCAAGATCAGATACAAAAATGGCTGCATGTTTCCAGGATGAGGACATGGGGCGGGGCCATAAAACCCAAGGATTCTGACATCTAGCTAGACATTCCTCCCAGAACCTATAGATTTTTTCACTGGATGTGAGAAGACCCCAGGGGAGGGGTGTGGGAAGGAGGGAAGAGAAGGGAGAAGATGAGAGGAATAATAGAAATAATGATCCTCCTCAGTTTAAAAAAAATGCCTTTCAGATTCATGATCTATGAAAATCCTCACAAAAGGCCCAGGAAGGACCCTGGGCAGAGTGGATGGGACAGACAATGCAGCCAAACCTCCCAGATAGAAACTAGTCCAACGTGGTGGTCGGTGGTGGATGGAGGAATCACGGTGTTTCTGGCCCCTTACGAGCTGCCCGTAGATAATACATTGAAGCAGGAGAACCAAGGTGGCCCCTGCTGGTACATGTGAAAATGGTCCCTTAAACCCGATGGAGCAGTAGAAGCCAGGGGGATGAGGGACAGGAAGGAATCAGTGGGGAGTTTACAGTCAGGAAGCAAAATGATTGCAGGGTCTGAGTCCCTAAGGGTTCCTTCTGTGTGTACCCAGTTATTGGCTTTCTTCCCTTCTTGGAAAGAGGAATCAGCAGGCTGTGTCTCACATGTTCCCTGGCAAATCTGGCCAGGTGGCCTTGAGCTCTGGACTATGGAGTGTTATACTGCTAAGGAATTGGTCTGCGATGAATCTGGTTGTAGGGTCAGTGAAACCAGTGTCTCTGATATTCAGAAACTCTTTCTTTTCCCTGAGGATGGGTCTGAGTTAGAGGGCATGACCTGATATTGTGGACTATTACCCCCCACCCCCAACATCAGGGATTGTAATTTTCAGTATACAGATGGGGAAACTGAGGCTCAGAGAGGTTAAATGACTTAGTCACTAAAGTCACACAGCTAGTCAGTAAGTGGTAGAACCCAGGTCTCTGACATCCAGTCCAGAGATTTTTCTACTATACTATGCTACAACCTGAAGAGAAAGATGGTTGGGATACCACTGGCAGCTCATGGTCCTCAGCAATAATAATAATAACAACAATAATATTTGTATAAAACTTTAAGGTTTGCAGGGACAGCGAAGTGGTGCAGTGCATAGAGCACCAGGCCTGGAGTCAGGCAGGAAGACTCATCTTCCTGAGTTCAAATCTGGCCTCAGAAACTAGCAATGTGACCTTGGGCAAGTCACTTAACCTTTTTGCCTCAGTTTCCTCATCTGTAAAATGAGCTGGAGAAAGAAATGGCAAACCAGTATCTCTACCAAGAAAGCTCCAAAGGGAGTCATGAAGATTTTTGGACACCGCTGAACCGACTCAACAACAAAACAAACAGGGTTTGCAAAGCACTTTACAAACATTATCTCATTTTATCCTCACAACAATCCTGGGAGGTAGGTGCTATTATTTATTATTATTATTATTATTATTATTATATATAAAATTATTATATATCATATTATTTATCATTATTATTTCCATTTTATGGATGAGGAAATGGAGGCAGATAGCAGTAAGTGACTTACCCAGGGTCACCCAGCTAGTAAATTATATGAGGGAGTATTTGAACTCAGGTCTTCCTGACTCCAGGTCCAATGCTGTCTGTCCATGGTACCACCTAGCTGCCTTTAAGCTAGCAAGATTACCAACCGTGAAGGAGGGGTTAGAGGAGAGGGAAGGGGGCATCCCACCCCACTGAGACCACTCTCTGGATCTGGTGCCATGAAAGAGCGTGTGATGTAAAAACCAAATGAGCACCCACATGTAAGGCATGTTGCAAACCTTGAGTTATTCTACAAATGTTGATTATTATAACAATGATTATTACTATATTAATCAAGAGATCTAGTCTCAGCTCTGCCATCTACCAGATGCTGTGATCTCCAGCCAATCACTTAACTCAGATTGCCCTACTGTAAAATGGGTTGTTGTAAGGATCAGATGAGAGAATATATGTGAAAATGCTTTATAAACTCTAAGGCCTGAGAGTGTGGAATACACAGAAATAGGTATTATTATCCTGTGGGCCAGAAGATGAGAGAGGCAGCACAGAGAGCAGGCTTTGAAGCCAAAAGGACCTGGGTTTGAATCCAGCCTCTGACACATACTGGCTATGTGACCCTGGGCAAGTCCCTTGACTGTTCCATGTTCCAGGCAACTCTCAAAGCTACAGAGAAGGTGGGAACCTGTGTTGGTGGAGAGAGCGTCCTCACTCGGGAATTCTTTATACTATTTACAGACTCGTATTTTTTAAAACTCCTTGTTAATTTCTTAAGAAATAATATTTCGGGGCAGCTAGGTGGCGCATTGGATAGAATACTGGCCCTAAAGTCAGGAGGACCTGAGTTCAAATCCGGCCTCAGACCAAACACTTGACACTAGCTGTGTGACCCTGGGCAAGTCACTTAACCCCTACTACCTAAAAATAATAATAATATTTCTCCAACCAGAAACCTTTTACAGAATTTCTTCCTTTAGGAAAGTGAGAACGAAAGCTAAGGCCTTCCTTTGAAATGAAATAAGAGTGATAATCAAGTTAACTTCTGTATAGCTAGCTCATGGCCTCCCCACCCCCTAAAGTGACAGGAGCCTTGGCCAGAGGTTAAGCTATTGATCAGGGTGGAAACTTTTCCATCCTTGAAAGGAGTGTGGCTCAGGGAGGAAGTCTGCTGGCTGTCCTGACTTCCTTCTAGTCTCCACTAATGTCCCACCATCTGCAAGAAGCCTTTCCCAGTCCTTAATATTAGTCCCTTTCCTCTGATGGAACCCTCCCCCCCCCCAATTTATCATGTCTCTATTTTGTTTGGGCAGCTGGGTGACAGTTGATAGAGCACTGGGCCTGGAGTCGGGAAGACTCCTCTTTTTGAGTTCAATTCTGGCCATAGACTCTTAATAGCTGGGTGACCCTGGGCAAGTCACTTAACCCTATTTGCCTCAGTTTCCTCCTCTGTAAAATGAGCTAGAGAGGGAAAGAGCAAACCATGCCAGTATCTTGACCAAGAAAACCCCAAATGGGTCAAGAAGAGTCAGACGTGATTGAACAGACGACTGAACAAATTTTGTTTATACATAATTATTTATATGTTGTCTCCCCCATTAGACTGTGAGTTCCTTGAAAGCAGGCACTGGGTTTTTTTTTGTTTTTGTTTTTTTTTTGCCTTCCTATGTATCCCCAGCACTTAGCACAGTGCCTGGCACATAGAAGATGCTTGATAAATGCTTATTATCTTACCGGGTTGTCCTGGAATGTTAATCTCTAACTGTATTTTAACATATTATGATCTTTCCCTTGTTCAAGATTCATTTAAATGTTACTTCAAATTGTTTTGGGGGTACAATTATGTCTAAAAGCATGGGGAACCATGCCAGTCTGGATATCTAGCTCCAGGATAAAAATTGCTTGTATATAAGTTAATGTTTAATTCAATAAAATTGTTTCTGGCAGACTTGAGCATGAATCACAGAGCCTATAATTAATATTTTTTCTTTGACACACTGAAATCACAGATCTAGTTCCTATCCTTGACAGAAGATGAGGTTGAGGTCAGGATTACCTAGGACCCGGTCATTGCTACGGTTGCATGTAACCAAAGTGTTAGAGCTGGGGCAGCAGTGCTGTGGGACAGATGGGCCAAAGCTGATGAGGATGACTCCCCAAAAAGCCCCATACTCTCTTCTTCTACAAAGCTGTCTATGGGAAGCAGACATAATCAGAGAGAGAGCCCAGGTCCCAGAGTAGATTTTCACAAATCAGAAGGACATGTCCCATCTGTTTCCTGGGTGAGACCAATATATAATAACCATGTTTTCTTGAGAACTGGTCACACACTCACCACCAGAAAATTGGTCCGTGGTTTATCCAAGCCACAGGGTGGGTGAGAGTAGAGTCCCTTGAATTCTGAGGCCCCCTCTCCTTCCTTTAGGGCATGTCTGTACACTTGGGGCAGCTAGGTGGTGCCACGGTGCACAGAGTGCCAGGCCTGGAGTCAGGAAGACTCATCTTCCTGAGTTCAAATCTGACCTTAGACACTAGCTGTATTATCCTGAGCAAGTCACTTGTTTGCCTCAGTTCCCCACGTGTAAAATGATCTGGAGAAGGGAGTGGCAAACCACTCCAGTATCTTTTCCAAGAATACCCCAAATGGGGTCATGAAGAGTTGGACATGACTAAAATGACTGAACAACAACAAAAGCACATTTAGGTCTAAACCCTGGACATCAGGTATTATCATCCTCACTTTACAGATGGGGAAACTGAGGCTCAGGCTAAGTGACTTAATGGTTTCTGCTGGCCCATTTTACTGCGGTGGTAAGACTGCATTTTGGAAAGGGAAGAGAGCAAATGAGCGATGTGAAATGCCTTGCAAACTTCAACGTGCTCTAGAAATGTCAGTCATCATCATCATCATCATCCGTCATCACCTAGCTCCAAATCCTATGATTCAATCAGTCAACAAGCATTCATTAAACACCTACTGTATGCTAGTGATCCTGTAACCTTCTGAGCCCTTTCCAATTCAGTCAGGCATGCTTGTATCAGAAGTCCAGGGTCCCTGACACAGTGGCCAAAAGAATTTAGGCAATTAATCAACCAATCAAGCTTTTATTAAGCACCCACTGCATGCCACGTACTGTGCCAGGTACTGGGATGCAAAGACAAAATGAAATAAGCTTTGCCTTCCAGCAGCGTGTCTTGTACGGTGATGTAGGCAGATGCTCCAAGGTAAACCTCTCCCCTTCCTCCAATTAAAGCCCCCTCCCCCTGTCGCTGCCTATGATTAAAGCCTTGGCAGCACAGACCTGGGTAATAAGTTAGTGAATAAATTTTAAATAAATATTTAGTAAATTATTTAAATATATAAATAGTAAGGAGCGGTAAATCAGAGCCTTCTGAGGAATCTAGGGTTGCCCGGGGGCCTCAGCCAACACTCAGAGAAGTTTCAGAGGACCACTCACCCCTCTCCTTTTCTTCCTGGCTTGCATCTGCGACGTGGTGGTGGGGGAGTGAGCTCCGGAGATTTGGCTGGAGGAAAGAGAGACAGGTTAATGTGATGGAGTGTTCATTCGGAGCACGGCTAGCTCTCAGCACCACGTGGCCTCATTAGAAGGGAGGGCCCGGCTGTAAGTGGTTCTCATTATTTCTCCCAGCTTAGTGAAATCCTTTCAAAGGAGGCCACAGTGATGTGAGAGCGGCCGGGGAGGGCGACTGACTCCCCGGCCTCTCCCTCCTCTCCTCCCCAGCCAGCTCATCAGATCTCAACAGTCTCAGATCAGACATATTTCTTCTCCAGCAAGTCTTCCCACTAACCCTCAGAGTCCAACTTCAAAAGCAAAAAGCCCTGGAAAGGGCTGCTCATTGTCTCCTTCACAAAGAAGGCCACGTGGTTTTGACAGCTGCCCTTAGGCCCTGAGCCTTCAGGATTTGTCTGATGGTGCTGGTAGCTGGAGGGGGGCAGGGAGAGGAGGTGTGTGTGTGTGTGTGTGTGTGTGTGTGTGTGCGCGCGCGTGCGCTCATGCATGCGTGCGCTCATGTATGTGTGTGCTCCCAAGCCTGTTTTTGCTTTTTTTTTCTTTTTTTAATCCAGAGTTGTGGCAAAGAGGCTAGGCAGAGGCAAAGAACCTGCATCCTGGAGGCCGCATATGGCCCTCTAGGTCCTCAAGTGTCACCCTTTGACTGAATCCAAACTTCACAGAACAAATCCCCTTAATAAAAGGATTTGTTCTGTGAAACTTGAACTCAGTCAAAAGGCCGCACTTGAGGACCTAGAGGACCACGTGCAGCCGGATTTCCTGGCATTCAGGCCTTCTCCTGAGAAAAGAGAGGTAGTAATGGAATACCATTGTGCTGGAAGAAATTATGAAAGAGATGGCTTCGGAGAAACCTGAGAAAATATTTATGAACTGATGCAGATTGAAGTGAGCAGAACCAGGAGAACAATTTCTATAGTAACAACAACATTGTAACAATAAACAGCTTTGAAAGACTTTAGGAATTCTAGCTCTATGTCCAGTGGTGATTCTAGACTTTGGATGATGAAGCATGCTACCCACCTCCTGGCATAGGGGTGATGGCCTAGAGGTGCGTAATGAGACATATGTTTTTGGACAAATGCAATGTGGGAATTTGTTTTGCCTGACTGAATATATTTGTTACAAGGGTTTTCTTTTGCTTTCTTTCTTTTTATTTTTTTTTTAAACATAGTGGAGAGGTGAGAGGGAGAGAAAATAGATATTTGTTCATTAAAAAATTAAATTAAATTTTAAAAATATTTCTATACATAAAGGAAAGAAAGAAGAAAGAGAAAGAAAGAAAGAAAGAGAAATAAAAAAAGCTTTGCAATACAGCTGAAAGAGAGCTGATCTTGGTGGCCAGAGACTTGATTCCAATATTTCCTGTGTGACCTTGAGTCACTCCACCCTCTCTGGGCCTCAGTCTCCTTATCTGTAAGATGGAGATAATAATACACTACCAGGGTTGTTGTAAGGAATGTGCCATGGAAGCCAGACAACATGAAATAAATTGGAGCTGTTAGCATAATCCTTTTTCTGATTATTATTGTAGAGAAGTAGCTTAGAGAGGTGGAAAGGGTACTGGCCTTATAGAGTCAAGAGACCTAGGCTCAGATCCCAGGTCTGATACTCATGAGCAGAGTGATCACAAGCAAGTTATACTCCTTCCTGAGTCTTAGATTCCTCAATTATAAAATAGGGATAAAAATTGTATCTGACTTCTGAAAGAAACCCTTGAAACATTATAGAAATGGGGAGTTATCACTGTTATTGAGCTAATAAGAATAATGTTAGTTGATATTTCTAGAGTTCTTTAAACTTGGCAAGGCAATATATATATATGTATATGTATATGCATGTGTGTCTATATGTGTATATATATATGTATATGTATATGTATATGCATGTGTGTCTATATGTGTATATATACGTGTATATTATATATATATATGTATATTATATATATATATATATATATATATATATATATATGGATGGATGGATGAAGAGAGAGAGAGAGAGAGATTGTGGAGCCTGATATGAACCTGTGAAGTCTGAGCTCCCATGAATCCATTTGACAGATGAGAAAACTGAGGTTGTCAGCTCTAAATGGCTGTGAGGAGCTCAGTGAAGTCATTGGCAAAGGGCTTCAGGCTTCTGTAACCTGAGCCAGGAGTGGGAGTGAAGTGAGAGAGTTAGGGGGTGAACCCCAGGAGATGCATGCCAGAGCCTGGCCTTTTCCTCCTCCTTGTACCCTGGATGTCACTCGTGGTGGGCGGTGCTCTTCCTCCTTGGCGACCAGTCCTTGCAGAGGCCGCTGGGCTCCCTATAAGCCTCAGCTAGCCAGGGCCACGGGGGACAAGAGGACTCCTGCTTCTCATGTGGGTTTGGCCTAACTCTACCTCTGGGCTTCTGGGATTTCACCATGAACCTCACTTCTTTCTGAGACTCAGGTTCCAAGTTCCATTAGTTCCACAGCCCCCTGTTTCAATGGAAGCTCCTTGGCCAAGAAGGGATTGTTTCATTCCTTGCCCTTGTATCTCAGCCCCTGGAGGCGTGGTAGGTGCCCGACAAATGACTGATTTGGGGGCAACTACCTGGCGCAATGGATAGAACACCACCTCTGGAGTCAGGAGGACCCGAGGTTAAATCTGGCCTCAGACACTTGATATTTACTAGCTGGGTGACCCTGAGCAGGTCACTTAACCCCAACTGCCTCGCCAAAAAACAACAAAAGACAAATGCCTGATTCATTGATTGAGCACAATCTTCCTCCTTCCTGTCCTGGGCAACACCCGCCTGGCACCCAGAGAGAGGGACCTTGGACCTGGTCAGAGGTGCTACTTGTGGAATTTGGGGTATCGTAATTATAACTGCTCTTCCATGTTATCCTCTGTAGATGTGAGCTCCACTAGGGCAAACCAAGCGCAGGATTCTCTCTGCATTCACCAGGTGCCTTAAATGTGTTGGTTTTATTTGCATTTTTTTCTTTATCTATCTATCCATCTATCTATTTATTTATTTATTTGCATTGAAACCTTATGAAATAGTAGTTCTGATTTATAGAAGGCTTTATATTGCCAAGTGCTTTACATACATTAACTAATTTGATCCTCACAATAACTCTTCTTGGGTGGGTGCTGTTATTATTGCCATTTTACAGATGAGAAAACTGAAGCTCAGTTTTAAGTGACTAACTCAGGATCCCACAGCTAATAAATGTCTGGGGTAAAACTTGAACCCAGGTATTTCTTATGCCAAGTTTGGCACACTAGCAGCCACTTAGACTACACAGTCCTTGGTCAAAGCCTTCCCAGCTTGGAAGAGCCTACCAGAGCTTGTGCGCCACTGACCAAGCCTTTAGGACCATAGGGTTCCCTCCTTTGCATACCAGGCTGAGGTGTCAGAGGAGGGGATCAGTGGAAGGGAGAGATTCACATCCAGGGTATTCTTATGTGCTGTATTGATCAACCAGTAAACTCTTTTGTAAGCATCCATTGTATGGCAGTTAGGTGGCACAGTGGATAGAGTGCTGGACCTGGAGTCAGGAATACTCAACTTCCCGAGTTGAAATCTGGCCTCAGACACTTGCTAGCTGTGTTACCTTGGGCAAGTCACTTCACCCTGTTTGCCTCAGTTTCCTCATCTGTAAAATGAGCTGGAGAAGGAAATGGCAAAGCAGACCAGTTCTTTGCCAATAAAACCCCAAATGGGGTCACAAAGAGTCAGACATGACTGAAAACAACTGAACAACAAATTACATGGCAGGTACTAAACTAGGCACTGAAAATACCAAGACAAAAGTGACATATGTTAGGTTGCTCTACAACAGGAGTTCTTAATCTTTTGTGTGTCATCCTTTAACAGTCTGGGGAAGTCCAGGGATCCCTTCTGAGGATAGCGTTTTTAAATGCATAAAATAATATAAAGATGATAACAAGGGAAACCAATTCTATTGAAATACAGTGATCAAAAATATACTTTTTAAAAAGCAAGTTCAGAAACCTTTGCTCTAGAATACTACACATACTTAACTTTCTCATCATGGCACAGAAGAATTGGTAGGCTATTCATGGAATGTTCTTTCCACCCCTTACCATGCCCAGACATAAATTCCTCATCCTTGGCATGAGGAAAGGAAGATTTTTATCTGGTTCAGGATTCTTCTCTTTCCCTTTCCCCCAGGGAATTCTTAGGGAATGGTGATGAAAACATTTAGCCCCTTTATTGACATAGTTCTCTGGTGCAGGCTAGAGGGTCCCTGGGGAATGGCTCTTTCTCTGATCCCTGGAAGGACAGGCCTGGGCTCTGAGTTGTCCAGGAATAGCAGATCAGGTTAGAAACCAACCACTTTCATCTTGTGGGCAAAGAAAGAGGGCCTTAACATCTTTGAGCCTCCATTTCCTGGACTGTAAAAAGAACTTAAAAACCTCTTCAGTTCCATTCTAGTTATAAATTTATAATCTTACAGAAGAAATGGAGATTCACAGACTTTATGTGAGCTAATTGCTCCAAATCACACAGTTTCATGCTCTATAAAACAGCCCCTTACAAATTCCAGAGTCTCTCAATGACAACAATGATAATGATGATAATTGCTGCGATCTTAATCATCCTTTATAGTTTCCAAAGCACTTTTCTCACATCTAGCCTGTGAGAAAGGAGGGCATATATAATTATCTCAGTTTTACTTAGAAGGAAACTGAGGGTTAGAAGGGTCCAGTAACTGGTCCATGATCACACAGCTAGGAGGGAGCAAAGCTGAGACTTGAACCCAGATCTTTTGACTCCCAGGTCACTGTTCTTTCCACTTTGGGGCTTTTTCTCTGAGCTCATTAGCTTTTGTGATCTCTGAGACTATAAATGTTTGTAATATTTAAAGCAAGAAGAGACCTAAGACATCATTTACATGAGGGGTTCTCCACCTTCTTTGTGCCATGGACCCCTTGGGCAGTCTGTGAAACCTATGGGACCCTTCTCAGAATAATGTTTTTAAGTGCAAAAAATGGATTCAGAAGGAAGTCAATTATATTGAAACACAGTTATCAATATATTTTTTTAAAAAGGTCATAGGTCTCAGATTAAGAACACTTGATCTGGGGTTTATAGATTCCTTAATTTTACCAATTAAATTCACGAATGAGCAACCTCTTAATTTTACCGTTAGAACTGTCCAAAAAGAGATAATAGACAATGAGCTCCTTGTCACTGGAGGTATTCAATAGAGGTTAGACAGACATTTATTGGGAATGTTGTAGTGGGGGATTAGTGAATTACAGCGAGTTGGAATAAGACAGCTTTGGTGTATCTTCCAACTCTGGGAGTCTATTATTGCATGAAACTGAGGCCCAGAGAATAAAGCAACTTTCTTATGGTTATAAAGCTCGTAAGTAGTAGCGGTGGTGGTAGTAGTAGTAGTAGTGGGAGAGTAGTAACGACCCCCATTTATACATACATACATACATACAGATATATATATGTATATATATATAAAATGCACACAGCTATGTGACTCAGTGAATAGAGCACTGAACCTAGAGTCAAGGAAGACCTGAGTTCCAAACCAGCCTCACATACTTACTAGCTGTGTGATCCTGAGCAAGTCGTTTAACTTCTGTCTGCCTCAGTTTCCTTATCTATAAAATGGGGATAACAGCACCTACTTCGCAGGGTTGTGGTGAGGATCAAATAAGTTAATATTTTTAAAGTACTCTGCTATATAAAATATTAACTATTATCAAATGGTGCTTTAAGATTTGCATAGCATTTGCTATGCAATATGCAATATGAATATAAATATGAACCAAAAATGAATTTATTAAATACAAAAAGTGGAAAGGTGAATCTATCCCATCCTCCTCCTCCTTCTCCTCTATCACATTCTGCTTTCCAATGTCAAATGCTAACAATTCAGAAGGGTCTGTCCCCTATATTCAGCACAGATAATGGAGAGGTGATGACATAACATTATGGCAAGTGATGGAGTTACCATAGCCCCCCACCCCTTTAGAAGGACAGTATTGCTAATTAGAAAACAACTCCTTGTTCCTTCTCATAGAAATATTCCGCCATTCTGCCTCATGTGGCACAGAGCCCTGGACTTGTAATCCACAAGGTCTGGGTTCGTATCCTGTCCAGAACATTTGCTCCCAGCTCTAAGCAAGTCCCCTCAGCCTCAACTCCCTCATCTGTAAAATGGTGAGGTAGCGCCCAGAATGCCTGCTATATAGGGCTGTTGTGAGGCACAAATGAGATGGGCTGTGCAAACTTTGTGAACCGTAGAAATGTTAGCTGTTATTCCAATACTCAAAGACATTCTCCTAGGTTAGAAAATTACAGAATGAACATCAAAGTCAACTGACTGGAGATGCAGCATGCATCCAGACAACACCTGAGTGGTATCATTAGGTATCTGGATGGGTCCCTCCCAGCCCTGACAGTCAATTTTTTAAGGTCCTTCCCAACTCTGACATTCTATGTTCTTAGGTCCCTCCCAGTTCTAACATTCTGTTCTATTCTCAGATCCCTTTCAAGTCTGACATCCTGAATTCTGTTCTAAGGCTTCTTCTGATACTCTGTGTTCTTAGGTTCTTTAGCTTTGACTGTCTGTATTCTAAAGTCTCTCTAACATTCTGTGCTCTGTCTTCTGTTCTAAGGATTCTTCCAGTTCTGATATTCCATGTTCTTAGATTCTTTCTAGCGTTAACATTGTGTATCCTGGGATCTCTTCCAGTTCTGATTTTCTATGAGTCTATGAAATGAAGCGTGTTGGGCAGTTGGCACTAGACGTCAAATTTTCCTTTCTGACCACACACATCTCAGGTTGAATGTCTGTATCCCCTGATGAGAACATGCCAGCTGACAGCAACAGCAGTGACCTGGACGTTTTCTCTGGGGCAATGGGAAGCCAGTCTGGGCTTTGCCATAACTAATCTACAATGTGCCTAATCCTCTTGGGAAAAACTGAGAATTGACTGGATGTCAATTAGTGCCTTGAGCAAATTGCATGAAGCTTTTCCATAGCTTTGTCAAATGACAGAAAATATCTCAACACTGAAAGAGGGGAAAGCAGGATGGCACGGTGGAAGGAGTCTTGGACCTGGGAGATAGGAACTTGAACTCCAGTTGGATGTCACTAATCAACCGCATCAGGCCAAATCCTTTCCCCTCTATGGGACCCCTTACACTTCTTCAGTTGTAAAAGGAGGAGTTAGACCGAATGATGTCCAAGGTCCTTTCCTCCAAATCATCCAAAACCCAGTGAATGCTGGGGATTCACCCATCTTTAAAAGTTTTCCAAACTCGGATACTGAGGGTCAGCACTTTTACGTCTTGAGTATTTCAGATTCGAATGGCATGTTATGTTCTATGTTCTTATCAGTCTATGTTCTAAGGTCCCTTCCAGCTCTGACATCCTATGTTCTGAAGTCTTTTCTAGCTCTGATGTTCTATATTCTAGAGTGCTTTCTAGCTCTGATATTTTAAGTTATTTGTTGGAACACAGCATTTGATAACATTCCATATTCTAAGGTCCCCTCCTGCTCATTCTATGAATCCATAAAAGTATTTTCATTTTTTCTTAAGACCCACAGAGGAGAATATTTTTTTTTTTTGTAAATGGTCTAACTTTATCACTTCTAAGGAAGAATATTCACCAAACCTTGACAATAAGCAAGGGCAAAACTGGGACTCCTTCCTTTATGGTGAAAGAAACAAAACAAAACAAAACAGAGAACATACTCCAACTTCATCAAAGAGGTCATTAAGACGCTCCAATCCTATATAACTTGATTTCCACTTGAGGGATAGATGAGTAGGAAGGTAAATAAGAGACAGAGGCACAGAACTCGAGTCAGAGACAGATAGAGACAGAAACAGAGACATGGGCACAGAGAGAGAGAAAGGAGAGAGGGGGTAGAGAGAGACAGACAGAAAGAGCCAGATAGCACCAAAAAGCCATAGCCAGAGTGAGACAGAGACAGAAAAAAGAAGAGAGACAGGGAGTGATTTAATTTTATATTTGGGATCAATTTCTATGTCTCTCAATCCCTTCCATTTAATTACTAGTGTGTTTCAAGAATTTAACACTAGAATATCATTCTTATTAATGAAAAAAATCACTATTTTACAAGAAAACTAGAGGCAGGAAGAATTTCAGGGACTTGTCTAAGGTTACTTAATAAGGATAAAAATGAAGACAGGTCATCGTGGGTCCTGCATTCCCAGCCCAATGGGCTCCCCTCTGGGTGAAGCCGCCTCTCACTGGGCCAGGATGTCCAGTGGCTGGCTCAGAGCTGATAGAACCCAACTGCCCCCACCCAGAACATAGTAATAATCAGCCAGGGCTTTAGGAGTAAAGTCTCCATTTACATGAATAGAAAGGCTATAAGGAAGCTAGTCTTCCAAAGCCTAGTTCAGGCTCTGCCATTGACAAACTTGGCCAAGCAAGTCTCTATCCCTTCTCTGAGCCTCAATTTCCCCTTCTGGAAAGTGGGGGAAGGAATTAGACTAGATCACTAAAGGAACCCTCCAGATTACTATTTTGTGAGTCACTTCTGTCTGGGCCTTGGTTTCCTCATCTGTTAAAAAAAAGGGTGGGGGGAGACAACAAAATGACTTCTGAGGTCCTTCCCAGACCTAAAATCGAATGAGGTGGGTGTCATCCTGTTCTATGCCGAGGGTACTGAGAAATTGGAGAGCCGGGTATCCTTCTTACCAGGACTCAGTGTAAAGGAGGAGGGTAAGGCCTGGAGGGGGGGCGGTGTCTATTTCTCAGATTAGTTGGGTTTAAGATGGAAATAGCAAGGTGCCCTTAAAGGCTGGGCGGTCTCTTCCCATGGATCTCCCTGCACCTCGCACCCATCCCAAGGACCCGGCCGAGTCTCTTACCTGTATTCCTCTTTGCCCACGTCTATGGTTCCATCAGACTCGGTGTCCGATGGGCTGTCTTCACCCAACCTCTTCATGGCCAGCAGCCACAAATCTGACACCTGAGGAGGTGTGTGCGTGTGTGTGTGTGTGTGTGTGTGTGTGTGTGTGTGTGTGTGTGTGTG